ATATATATATATATATATATATATATATATATATATATATAAATTTGAAGTAATAAATGCATTTTTAAAACAAATAGTAAAAATCTATTAAAGTAACATTTTATAAATATTTATTATTCTGAAGACAAAAAATATTAGAACATTTATAAACTGAAGACTTTTAAGATAATTTCAAATAACATTTTCCTTTGCAAATTTTCATTATAAATTTGTTAACAAATTATTAACAAAAACCAATTAGCCAATCACGAAGCACATAGCTGAACGAGCACGAATAAGTCTAAGCAACATATGTCAAAAAAAGTTATATGTTGAATATAACAAATATTTTTTTATTTGATAATTTTTTTAACATTTTGATAAAAATTATATCGAATTATATTACGAAAAAAAAACTTGATATTAAAAGTATAAGTATAAAAGTATATAAAAAATCTTTTTATTATCAAATAAAAAAAATAATACTAATGCTAAATTTAATATATTTTTTAAATATGTGCTATTATTCTATTTCATTCCATTTTCCAAATATAAATAAAATCTATAGAAAAAAATATTAATTGCAATTGATCTTTTTTTTATATTATTAAGGAAGGAATATTTTATTTGTATGCAACGAATCAATTAAATATAAATGAAAAAAAAAATACAAAATTTATTATTAATAAAATTAATCCATCATTTTCGATTTTTTTGTTATCAGATCAAAAAAAAAATGATACAATATTTAATTAAATTTGAACAAAAGAATTGTCATTAGTTTTTAATTCAAGAAATTTGAATTCTTTTTTAATATATCTCCGAGTTGATGGAAATATTAATTTTCTATTTGTAATACTATACCTATACCTCTTCTATAGTATATATGTTTTATTAGTTATAATAAAAAAAATAAAAATATATTAATTTAGATCCAGCAAAATGAATAGCATATTTATGTATTTGTATATTATGTATTTGTATTTGACTAATGTTATTTAAAAAAAGCGAAAATTTTTTTGTTTCTCATTTTTATAATTATTTGTAATAAATAATTTTCAAAATATTTTTTTTGTTTCATTTATAATTATACACATCTTTCATTTTTTGCAATTTAACTAATTTAATTAACAATAATTAATTAAATAATAAATTTAAATTTAATAAATTTGTTATTTGATATTCTTTTTTTCTTTCCATTTCCGAATTTTTATTATATTATATTACATTATTATTATTTAAAATAGTATATATTTATAAACATTTTATAAATAATAAAAAAATTATTTTTAATATAAATATAATACATAATATAAATAATTTAAATATAATTTTAAAATTTATTTGCATATATACATTTATTTTTTATTTGAAATCAAATATATTTATTTTTTATTTGAAATAATTATTAATTTTATTTTCAGTTATTTATTTTTTTATTTCTCTTATTTATACACAATATAATATAATATTATAATATTTTTATTTTTAATAAAAAATGTTTAATCCTATTTCTATCACACGAAGAATTAATGTCTTTTTCCTATATTATTAGAACATATTAAAGATATATCTATCATATTCATAATAGATATTTATGAAATAGAATTATAAATTATTACAGTGTGTCATATATTAAATAATACATATTAGATAATACGTAGTGATATGATAAATGGGTATATAATAAGAATTGTTTTTAAATTTTAAATAATTTTATTAATTCGATTCATGGCGTAATTGATCAATATTTAATGTATTAATATATAATAATAATAATAATGATTAATCTAATCTAAATTAAATACATATTTAAATGTAAATCAAATTAAAAATAACTAAACATAAAACAAAATCTAATTTAAAATTTAAAAATTTATATTATACAAATCTTTTCAAATTAAAAATATTATATAAGACTAAAAATATTTTGGCGTATAATTCAAAAATTATGATTGAAAAACATAAAAAAGTTATATATATTTTAGTGATGCTTAATTTCAATAACAAAATATTTCAAAATCATGGAAATTATAAAAGTAATTTTGAAAATAATTATTATAATTATAGCTTCAAAATATTATATATCTTATACTTATTATTTTTAAATTTTTGTACATGTTAATTTAATTTTTGTTTTAATTTAAATCGTTTAAAGGATTAATCTTTTAGAATATAAAAAAATATAAAAAATATTTTAAAAAATAAAACAGGAACTATATTATTATTTTTTAAAAACAATATATTAATTGTTTGTTTTGATAATTTTGATAATATTAGATTTTATCGAATCTAATTTAAAATATAAAGAATATAAATAGTAAAATATTTTTTATAATTTTTACTTACGCTTATTTAAAAATTATTTGAAGATATTTTTATTAAGAATAATTAAACACAGAATATCGAAAATTGAAAATGAAAGTAACTATATATAAATTAATTATATATTTTATATATAACATAATATAAATATAAATTACAATATATAATATAATAATTAATTTAAACATTAATAACAATGATGAAGGTTTAAGTTAGATGAATGAGAAAATTTATTAAAAAAGTATGAAAAAAAATTCGACAGATAATGCATTATATATGCAAAATATATATATAATTTTTATATTAATAATTATTATAATAATAATATTAAATACGTATATAAATATATATTTATTTATTTATTTATTTATAATTTATTTTATTTAGTTTATAATATTTTTAATTAATATAACTAATATCTTTATAATTATAAAAGCATTTTAGCAGTAAATATTTGTAAATAAAACAACTCCTAATAAATGTTTGAATTTTTGAAAATTACATAAGTAAATTTCCTCTAATAATTTATAATGTTAATATAATGAAAATGTCAATATTTTTGAAGAATCTATTCAAAATAAACGCAGAAATTAATATAAAAAAATACCAATCATTTGAGATTTATTTATTAAATTAATTAAAAATAGATAATATGAACATAATTTAGAAAAAATTATGAAACAAAAATAAATTATATGACGTAGATTGAAATTTATGATGCAAATGATATTAATAAAAGTTTATAACATAAAATAAAAAAATCAAAAGTAAAGGAATTATTTTTAAGAAAATCAAGTTTGAAAAGTTGTTAAATACATGATAAGAGTGAATAAAATAAAAATTATAAAATCAAATGTTACATAAATATATTTTGTAATTTAAAAACTTATTTTGGAAACAGTTCTGCATTCTTTAAATCTTTAATATTTTTATTTATAATACTATATTAATAGTAATTATAATAGTAAGTATATTAATAGTATTAATAGTAATATATCAATTTCTTCAGAGTAATATCAGAATATAATATAACATATTGAAACAATATATTATTAACGAGATACTGTTTCAATATTACAAAAAAATAAAAAATGAATGGATAAACTTTCTTAAATTAAATCATTTATATAATGGTTTAATGAATGAGATGTTATATGGACATCAATAACTAACTAATAATAAAATAATATATTTTATTATTTTTTACAAATTACATATCATTAAAATTTGGAATACATTTTTCTCATATTAA